GGCGGGTGGAGGGGAGAGGCAGAGATCGGCATTAGTCATAACTCAGATGTATTATTTCACTGTCAACTGGAGAATAAAGAAAACATAGAGTTGGTTGACATTCAGGCTTGATCATAAAGAACTATCATAGTGCGGCCCAGAAAAAGACATGTTTTATGCTTGTGCGTGCGTGTGTGCGTGCGTGTGTGCGTGCGTGTGTGCAGATGAAAGACTCCGAGCTGGAGCTGAGATGAGTGAGGGGTGAGGATGTCAGAAAATGAAAAGGATAATTTAGATCTGTTTCCTCTCTCTTGCTCCAGCGCCTAATGAGCCCTAAGCAGTGCAGAGTCCCTGCAAGCAGTGCCACCACAGTCAAGATGAAACAGGTAGAGAGAGCGGAGGGGGCCAGAGACAGAGGCATGGAGATGAAAAAATAAATAGGTAGAGGGAGAGAGGAGCGCAGTGGATGCATGGGGGAAGAGGGCAGGCAGGCAGGCAGGCAGAGGGAGGGGTGTGCGGAAAGATAAGGAGAGATGGGAGAGTGTTTCAGGCTTCAAAGGCTGCCGGCTAGCGTGGCCATGGAGGAGCCATGAAGTCTACGTTTGCGTGGTGTGCTGGGTCTTGCAGAATCGGCTGGCTGTTTTCGGGTCACGCTCTCTGTTCTTGGCTTATCTGGTCCAGCCACAGACAGTTTTCCAGGAATGCCGAGGAAAAGCGAACGAGGGGTGGCTTGGCCCAGTTTCTCCTCTCTTTGACCAAAAGCATGTTTAGACCCCTCAACAACCACACAAGCGAGCGGAGAGCGTTGTAAATACAGAGTCCGTGTTAAGCGAGATTGTGCATGAGCAATGGCCTCATTCAAAACTGCAGACTGCTTGCTGTGCATTTAGCACCTTGTGGGCGATGTGTGGCGCAGCAGCTGTCGTATTTTTTCTCGTCATTGTCCTCTGCGGAGTGGCATTTTCATCTCAGTAATTGGGCAGAACCAAGTACTCGGCAGGAAGACTGAGGACACATGCAAAGATGTGACATACGCCTCACTGGTTGAGGGATTGGAAGGGAAAAACAAACTGTGTGCTCGCCAGGTGATCTGACACAGGCGCTCTAACTGAGCATATACACCTAGACACACACACACACACACACACACACACACACACACACACACACACACACACACACACATACAACCCTCCCCTGGCTTCCCAGACAAATCTGAAAGTCTCTCAAACAAAACAACACAAAGCACTGTGTGTTTGCATACAGCCCATTATTACCTCATCAGTGTGTGTGTGCAAATATTTGAGGATGTCTTCATTATATTGTGTGGCTTCTTTTATGCAAGCATCAGGCTTGTGTTTGTGTTTGCTCAGCCAGTCGATCCTTAGCATTGATTACTATGCAGTCCGATTAGTGCTCTAACGGCCTCTCTCCGTGGCGGAAGTGTGTGTGTCTGTGTCTGTGTGTGTGTGTGTGTGTGTGTGTGTGTGTGTTTTAGTCCCAGTGGGAGCACTATCTTACAGCTGAGGCCAAATATCCAAACCTGTTCGCTGTCAGAAAATCAGCGCCGTGCTATGCTTACATCTGTTACTCTGAAAGATACCTAAGAGTCTGTCTGCTCTGAATAACTTTTACTCTCCCTCTCTCATCTGCTCCTGTTTCCTCCCCTCCTGACAGGCCTGCGGCTCGCGGAGCAGCTGGCTCGGCGTGAGGACGAGGCGAAGATCCGCCACCGTCTCGGGCTCTCTCTGTGGGCCAGTGGGAATCTGGAGGAAGCCCAACATCAGGTGAAGTATCTCCAGTTCCTACCTCTCCTCTGCTCTTCTCTCTTCTCCTCCTCCATCTGGGCTCCTTCCAGCGAATCCACCTCTCGTAGTTAAAGCTGACCTCCAATAAGCACACATCTGTTGGTTGGCAAAGATTACGAAAGAGAGGGGGAAATAGATGTCCAAAGACACGGGAGAGGAATTTTAAGATTTTAGAGAGAGAACAACAAGAGAAGAGAAAGGACAGGTGGCTTTAGAGCTTGCACACGGCTGCTGGCAATATGCTGGGGGAGTCTGTTGAGCTTGTGAATGCTGTCATCTCAGCAGACAGGCGACAGATCACTTTTTGTATCTGTGTGCATGGTCTCAGGAGTCCCAAGCCTCTGCATCACACACACATCCTCAGCCCACTGCCCACCTAGCAAGCATGGAATATCCCCCTTACATCTCTCTTTACAGTCTGTCCACACACTATGGCTCAAGATTAGGTTTTTTTTCCTCCCCTTGTGCTTGTGTATCCACATACAAGTCTGACAACAGTCAGCCAACAGCAGTGGCTGTCACGTGTGTCTGCAGGGATGTTATTCAGATGCTTTCGTTTCCAAAATCTAGTGCAAAACATTTCTGCTTTAATATACACAGACTAAGTACATCTGTGTGACCCAGATAGCTTTGTTTCTGGGCCCTGCATCATACATTTCAAAAAGTTACTTTGTCTGTTTGCAATTATCTGTAACAAGAGTTGGGGAAGAAAGACTGAACCGAGGTGGTGACATGAGCTGAGGCCCCTGAGTCATGTTGAGGAAATTATGTTCAAAAATGTTATTCCAAAAAGCTGATGCCACATATTTTGTACTTTACAGTTTAACACTTAATCACAAGACCTTCGTTAAAAATTTTTCTCTCTGTATGTCAGCTTTAAGCTCCCAGGGTGAGTTGAAAGTGGGAAAGGACCCTGTTGTCCTCAGAGCGGTGGTTATTTATGAGCTGCAGGCCTGTTGTTGCACATGACCTTGTTAAATACCTCGACCCACTTCAAACCTCATTTGTATTGGCTTTTATTAAAATTCATGAAAACATCCATGTTTTCATCCAGGTGTGGATTGACTGAACTTGACCTCGTGTTCCTTTTGTTATGTTCTGCATGTATTTAAACCCAATTTTACTTTACCGCCCCAGCTTTTATCCTGATGTTCACACCCACCAAAGGTGTGTAGAAGACACTGTCTCCACTTCCTCCCACCGTCCAGAAATAAAGCTGAAATATCACAGATGCGAACGCAGCCATCTTGCACCAAAGCCTTTCTTAGGTGACAGAGCTGCAGTAGCAAAATCTTGCAGACACACGCGCTCAACCAATCAGGTCTCAGCTTTCAATCATGATAAATAAGAAATATGATGCAAACTTAGTGGAAAAATGACAACTTGAACACACATCAGTGTGATAAGGAGTCAGCCACACAAACATTGTTGCTATAGGCTGAAGCTGTGACATCGCCACTCATCAAAGTTGAACTCCACTATGCGTATTTGTGGAAGTGAACAGGAGGCAAAAGTTTGCTACCTCTTCATTTGCGTATGTGTGATCATGCCCATAGGGAGACGCTATGTCTTCATCTTTATATGCAGTCTATGAATGTGTCCTGATTCTAATCAGCTATTTTGTTTTCTTAAATATCAGTGGTCGACTGTAGATGTAATTTGTTTAATCTCCGATATCATCTCTCACAGAGGATGAGTGTTCCCCAGAGAGGTTATTCTACAAAAATCATTAGACGTGTGTGTGTGTGTGTGTGTGTGTGTGTGTGCGTGTGCAAGCAGCAAACACTCACGTTACCGATTCAGTCTGACATTGACATTCACTTAACACGTCAGATAAAAGCCATGTTAGTGTCAGGGACTGTAGAACATGACAGTGCAATCGGAATGCACAGCAGCGGAGGAAATAACTGATTTTTACCTTTACCGCTGCCAAGCAAGTCACTGTGGACGCAGCACATTTGGGATTGTTTCCCTTTCATCTGCACCAGAAGGGTTCAGGCCAGAGGAAAGGCGCTGTGAGAAATTAGTTTCACTCTTAAAGAGATGTCTGCGAGCTTAACAGATTAAACTAGCAGTGCAGCAATCAGCCCACAGCCCTATCTGCAGAATCAGCCTGAGACTAGGAGCTCCGTCTACTAGCACTAATGCAGCAGAGCTCACAGATTCTCTGCCGATCGCTGCTCTCCCCCTTCACTCCCTCTGACACACTTTTCCTGCGTGACCTTGGGATATGCCAGACGAGCTCCAGAGTATGCATATATGTGTGCGCACACACTCTTTCTCTTTTCTTTCTCTCACCAAACCCCCAGTGCTGATACAATCCATTTCATCCATACCAGCAACCTTTTCTCCTCTGCAGTCCTTTGTCTTGTCTTCAACTGTGGTCAAGCAGTGTAAGCATAGTGCTTCAGCGTCTCTGCTGGGCCCCGGGCTCCTGGAGAGTAGCTCTATAGCAGTCCCAGTCACCCTACAGGGCTGTCGTAGGCGCAGAAATAGGAAATCAATAAAGCCTCCCATGAATCAGCACTCCTGGCTGTCTCCGCCTGGCCAATGTGCAACACTGCCTGCTGCCCCACCTCTCCATTGTCTCTCTCTCCATCTCTCAATCCAATGTCTGGCACTGAAAAGAAAGGTCCAATAACCCAGACAGGCCTATTGAGTCCACAAAGCATTTCTTTCCTTGGGCGCTGCCCGTCAATGATGCCCAGGTAATGGTTTAGCCTCTCACTGCCCTTTCCCACGTCCAGGAAAATAAGAGCTGAAGAGAGGTTTACTTGTGTTTGGTGGCGATTCAGCAAGTTACATTACAGTATTTTCCTCTGGTGAATGAGAAACATAATTGGAAGGCAGCAAGGGCGATCGATGATCACCATGAGGTGAGATGCTACCACCTAGTGGCCAAGATCATTCTCAATCTTCAAATCTAATCTCTTTCTAACACATTTGTGGAAATTTTTATGCAAAGTGTCTTTTTTAAAGCCTCTTGACTGCTTGTTTATTGTGACTTCCTCACTTTGAATACAATAGAGACATTGCCAGTGTCATGTCCTACCATTTGAAGTACATAGGACCACCCTTGACCCGCAGTATTAAAGGCTGAATCATGTAAAACCAACAAGCAAACTGGAGCTGAAAGCATCTGATTGTTGATGTTATTGCTTATCTTCAGCTCTACCGGGCATCTGCACTGTTTGAAACAATCCGCCATGAAGCCCAGCACAGCACAGACTACAAACTCTCCCTGTTTGACCTACAAACTTCCTGCTACCAGGCACTCCAAAGGGTCCTCGTCAGCCTAGGTATGTCCACACACTTCTCATATTCTCAAATCTTCTGTAGTTAGATTGTAGTCAGCTTTTGCTTTTGGCTTGTAATGTTAATTATTCATCAGCATTGACCTCTGAACTCCATAGGTCACCACGATGAGGCCCTGGCAGTGGCAGAGAGGGGTCGTACACGAGCCTTTGCGGACCTTTTGGTGGAGAGGCAGACCGGCCAGCAGGACTCAGACCCCTACACCCCAGTAACAGTGGACAACATCCTGGACAACGTCAACAGCCAGAGGGCCTTGGTGCTTTATTTCTCCATGGCTGCTGGTTACTTGTACAGCTGGCTGCTGGCTCCAGGAGCAGGTAAGATTTGCCACTCTGCCTTGTGTTGCTCAGACTGTGAACTGTTTTGTTGGGATGATGAAATCCTAACATGTCTGGCTGTTGTCTTGTGATTCTTTTCTAAAATATCTCTGCTGTCAGAATTCATATGTGGTGGAAGCCTTATGTCTTAGTGGATAGATTTTAAATTATTACTCAGGTTAAATGGATTAAAACATTTGCCCTCTTTGTGACATTTTGATGGGAAAATTTACACTTCAGCCATGTTGATCTATTCTCTGGGCACACAGTATGTAAAAAACAGTGCACACTCATGCATGGGTCCTTATGGGATGCTATATGTAAAAGCAATTAAATGCGATATAAATTCAATGATGGAACAAGAAAATTTAACACCGGAATGTATGGACATGAATAGCTAAAAATATTTCCTCATGAATTGAAGCAGCTTTTATGTTTAGAAATGAAACAACAAGAACAAACATACAAATGCACTCACTAACATACACATATTTGCTTGTTGGAATCAAAGCAGATAAAAGGCCCAGAGGCTATAGCTTGTTTTCAGCTGCCGGGTAAGAAGGCCAGCTTTAACGCCAAGTGTCAGTGCCACCTGCCACTCCACTGTTAGGATTTGCCCCCTGCCTCGCTCCACACCCCCAGAAGGCATCTGCCAATGAACCATGCTAATTGATAGTGACACAGCCAAACAACACAGGCAACATCTTCACACATGCCAACAGGAAAACACTTTGCCGTTACACCAAATTATAAAATGTCTCTGTTTCTTTGCCCTTCTTCTAATTTTCTTTTTATAGAGTGATTGTGCACATCTCTTTTTTCTTTCTCTTATGTTGATACGCTCATTAACACCAATGCAGGCAACAAGGTTAAGATGCTGTTTGTATATATGACTCATGAAATTCCAGTTTCATGAAGAGAACTGGCAGAGCTGCGGATGAAATACAGCGTGTGTCACACGACTCCTGTAGCTACAGTGCTGTTAGTTGTTTTTTGGCTCTTTTCTATTCTCTGCTGTAAAGAAAGCCACGGCCCATGTGCCACGCCACCAGCCCTGAACATTTGATCAAACCCAGCTCTCAGGCAACAGGATGAACTTGAACCCCCAACACTAGTCCTACAGAGGGGTGTCACAGTGCAGGGACCAGTGGAGATCCTCAAAGTGCTGAATATTGCCTCAGGCTAAGAGGGAGCCACTTGCTCACTAATCGTCTGTCTGTCACTTTCTGGCATTCCCTGGCATCCAGCTGGCACGTGAGCATGGCCCTCTCCAAACAGCCTGCACTCAGTAAAAGGGGCTACTAATTATTAGTTACTACTTCATTATTTCAGTTGTGTAACACACACACACATATATATATTCCTAAGTCACATATCCAGCTGAATTAAATTAATTTAATACATGTCTATACATATACAGCACTGATACACCCCATAAATTCACACACACACACACACACTTCCCCGCCCCCTCTGATGTTCATGCTCGATGCTCAGTGGAGCTCTCCTGGCAGGCAGCAGATGGCACAGGGAGTCTACTCTTATCTTTTATTGAACATTATTTGTTTTATTCATTTTGCTCCACACATGTACGACGGCACGTGGCCTCACTCACAGCTTTCAGCTGAACCAGGACATCATGAGTGACTGATGCAGATGTATTAGAAAAAGAAAATGGTTCGATTTATTTGTGTTAGTCATTTTGATTGTGTTATTTAAAATTTGGTTTAATTACCCTAAAAACTGTTGTCATCTCTGCCCACTGTTTCTCACTCCACAGGTATCCTGAAGTTTCATGAGGTGTACTTGGGCGAGGGTTTATCAGACGGAGGGTCAGACTTCCAGGAGGGTGGCGGCAGTGGAGTGGTCAGTGGCTCATCGTTGGAGCAGCAAATTGCCAGTGCCCGGGAGGCCCTTGGAGTCGAGTCTTATTACAGCCGGTGAGATGTTTACAGCGGTCACAGTGAAATATTAACTCTTTGTTTGAATGATGTGGTTATTATCCATATCATCAAATACTTATTTATTAGTAATTAATAGAAACTGTGCTCAAGAGAATCAGTTGAATTATATTTTAGCAAATACATGATTTACAAGCAGTAATGTGACTGCTAGTTTATAACAAACTCCTCCCCTGCCATTGATGTTATATGAATATATATCATTGAATTCAGCATAATTGAAGTGACAGGAGAAGGAACATTGCCTGGTGGTGACATTTGGGATGATCAGTCCACACAAAGCCCATTTCTTTTCCAAGTACTTCATGCTTGTGCTAGTACTGACATCTGCTTTTGAGATATATTGATATATGTAAGATCTTATGCAGCTCAAGTTTTTTTTTTCTTTGCATGTGAAGGACTTCATTGCCTCCATTATGGTCATTGTTTCCATGATGATACAGATGGTTAATAAATGTGAAACTCCACACATTCCTTTACATTTTAGTTGTGATCTGTGAAGGTTTGCTAACAGAAAATTTAAGGAAAGGTAGAACAAGCAGAGTGTTATTCAGCCTCATTGCACCCTGTGATGACAGACCTCCACTACCTGCCCGAAGTACTCCACTCTCTCCCTGTGGGAATAAATGAGACGGAATAATGGCTCTTTGGATAGCCAGGCAGTTGAAACCACCTTACAAACAGCGAACCTGACAAGTAAAGGAAGAGAGCATTGAGTTTACTGAGAATGGGAAGAAGATTGAGTTGAGGTGGTGAAATTCTAAAGGTGAGAGGCTGGTGAATAAAGACCTAACAACAGGGTACATCGCCTGAGGGACTCTGCAGGACGAGACTGAAAATTGGGTGAGATATATTGACAGAATATCTCCCGTTGACACCCATGGGTGTACACCATGTTTCACATTATTAGCCTTGTTTCTCTTGTTGGTGTTTGATCCATAGGGCCCAGCTGGTCTGCTCAGTGCCAGCCTCTGCCACCCCAGCAGCCGGGGCCCTCCTGCCCCATTAGCAGCTCATTTACTACACCAATAGGAAGTTGCACACACACCACCGCGCCTGGATGGGCACAATATGGCACCACTTACCAGCCCATTCATTCCCCAGAGTGCAGAGAGAGGGAGGCAGCACTGAGAAGAATGGAGAGAGAGTATATGCATGTTGAGGCAAAGATGATATAGAGAGAGGGGAGGTAGCAGCTGTTGTGACAGTGAAAATTATACATTAATATATGGATTTTATTTACTAGGTCTGGTAGTATATGAACCTTCACAAGATAAAAAGTTATGCATACTGCAAGGATTACAAAAATGGCGGTAGTGTGAGTATAAGGTGAAAAGAGTTTGCTCTCATCTACCGTGAGAGCAAGAAGCTAACATAAGAGTTACACGATATGGGTTCTTCAAGCATGAGGAGAGAGATGGAGAAGAGTGGTGGCGATGTAATGATTGTGGTGGTGGGAGTGGTTGACTCCCCACAGACTGGATCAACATCCCCAGCATTATAATGAAAGGATTTAACTCTGCTTACCATCAGGGTGTTGGACCGAGCCTGGGAAATTAGGCCAAGTGTGGGTGTGTATGTCGGGCAGATCAGGAGTGTGTGTGCGTTGATTTATCCGCGGAGAAACAATCTAAGTCTGTGTATTGTCTACTTTGCTGAAGTGCCTTTTTCTTGCCAACATTTCAGTGCATGTCTGTAATTCCATCTCTCTCTCTGTTTGCATCTCTCTCTCTTTCAGAGGGTGTTCGAGCAGCGAAACGGAGAGCGAGGCTGGGGATTTGTTGGACCAACAATTTGAGGAGCTCAACAACAAGCTTAACTCAGTCACCGATCCAACAGGCTTCCTGCGCATGGTGTCCAGAAACAACCTGTTCAACAGGTACGAGTTTGTTGCAAATAACCTGCATGTTCCTGCAGAGAGCGCTAATCAACAAGCGTCACTCAGACCTACTTTTCCACAAAGAAAAGAAAAAAGGGAAAGATTAAAAATATCTGCTTGGGTAAGGAGATTCGTGGGTATTGTGGCTCATCTGTGAAAGGAGTCTTTTCTCCATTGTTTAGCCAGCGTAGAGGCAGCATGTGAATCCTTTTTATTAAAAAGACTGAGTAGAGCCAAGCTGCTGAAACCCTTATCAACTGCCTATTCTGACAGGGCCGTGTGTGTGTGTGTGTGTGTGTGTGTGTGTGTGTGTGTGTATGTGTGTGTCAGACACAGACACTGAGACCCATGTGGTTTTAAGATGTTTACCGTCTGTGTTTATTGTGCAGAATTATGTGTGCAAAGATTTCTGTGACTCTCCCAGTGGCTTCTTCTGAAAATTATTCAACAATACTATGCAAAGTATTCATTTACGTTGTGCTGATCGGTTATGTCCACCAATAGAATGTGTGCGTGCGTGTGCATGTGTGTGTGTCTGGGTCATATTTCCCTGTCCTCGTCCACAGTTGAGCTGCTCTTTGATGAGAGGGTAATTCCAGCTTTAATTGAGTCTTGGTGCTCATTAAGCTCCTTTAATGGGTTGCCGGTAATAATCCACTCATTCTTTTGGGTCTCAAAAAAAAATCTCTGAATTATAAAGCTTCTCATGCTTAGGAGCCTATCGTCTATCACAATGCTAAAGCGGGAGAAAAGGGAGGAAACCTCATTGTCGTTTGGAGTCATACATCTCTGGGTTTTGATGTCAGATAACGTAAATGTATGTACATTTCAAGGGCTTTCATTCGCTTCCCTTTCCCTAATCACTTTTAAGATTTAATGCTATATTATATTTCCACAGTTACTCCTAATTATATGAAATATAGTGAAATCTAAATGAATGCCATTTAAATCAAAATAGGTGCGAGAACAATACACCTAGCATTAAAAGATCTGCGCTTCATGTTGCGATATCGTTGTTTGGTGTTATTGATTGCCCTATTTTAACACTGAGATCTAATCTTCACCAGGGGGCTTGGAAGGATTACTACGAGAAGGTGATAATGAAAGTCTCCTCGTGTCTAATCCCCTCAGTGTGTAATTGAAACGTTTTTATGCAGGGTGATAGCATAATGAGATTGTTTGATGATCTTGATGAAGTTGTCACTAACGGAGAGGATCCCTGCATCAAAAGAGCTGAGTGGCCTGTAGCAATAATTTATATCACCGCTGGAAATTAGGCCAGTATAAAAAGCTGGTGTAAAAAGTGTGTAATTGGTAAACTTGTCTACCTTTGTATCACACCCCCCCAGATCACACTTAAAGTAAGTCTGCCCACTGCAGACCAAACAAGACCTTCAGCCTTCTTCACCTTCAGCCTCCCTGCTTTCAGTCTTTACTTTCCACTGTTTTCCTCTACACTTGACACTCACCTTTTCTTGGCTTATCCCTTTCCTCCTCTCTCATTCTTCATGTCAGGCTAACAAACGATTGTTTGCTTTCCCATGGAGGCTCATGCTCATGGGAGAGAGACAGAGTGTTGGGAGGGTGGATGGGAGCCAGTGGCCTGGCCTGGGGCTACCAGAAGGGCAGGGGAGATGTCTGTTGGCTGGGGCAGGAAGAAACTCTAGCTGATGGAACAGATGGATACAGTGACGAGCACAACCATAAAATGTGGCGCTGTGTGGGCTTCTAACCCCACAGCCACCATTAGTACCGTTCTCAGTTGAGAGTCTGTGCCTGAGCAGGGAGCTGACGCCTCAGTCACACAGCAGACATGCCTTAAACACGCTGGGTTGTTTCCTTTTCATTTGTTTCAGACAGAGATGCTCACAAACTCTTCCTCTATTAACTGTAAGCTTTGAGTTTTACAATATGTAGAGTAGGTCCCTGTAAAGAGGGGATAAACCCTACTTACCTCCTCTTCCTGCTGGGATTCTGGCAGGCTGATGGTTTTCACCACATCATGTGTCTGTAAAGTCCACATTACCACAGTGCAACAATGCCATCTAGTGTAGATTTATATATTTACATGATATTCTTTTGGTTTTGTCTCAAGTCATGTTTAATTATATTCAGTCTGAGATCACTTTCCCTTTCTGGTGGTCTCAGAGGTTTGGCCCTGACTGTTTGTGTTCACAGAGGTATTGCAGCACATCTGGCACATCGGCCTTCATCTGCCTCATACTTGATGCTTAGATTGGAGAGCGAGCGTGTCAGAAAACGAAAGATGAGCCTCTATGTTTTGAGAGTGATGGCTCACTCTGTTCCACTGCAGCTTTGTGCAACTACCACACACAAACTCACAGAAGCTACAGTGCTGCAGTTTGCGTCTTGGTAGAGCCATATCTGATGTAACACTACGCAGCAAGTTAGGCATGGAGCTCTTCAACCACATTCCCAGCATGTCTGGAGAGCTCATCAGGAGCAGCAGGGTGGTTTGGCGTTAACGGACAGTTTGATGCACGAGATCTCTGTTGCAGGGTGACTGGAGGAAAAAGCAAAACAGAACTGAGTAACCCAAGGAATATTTATAGATGAAATAATTTTAGTGAACATTTTGACAATTTAAATTGCAATTATATGAACGTAATGTAAAATGTAT